CATCCGCTTGCCCCTTCCAGGCACTCCTGTCCCCACGCCTGAGACCTGGGAGCTATTGCCTGCAGCCCCCCTCCCAGTTTCAGGTCTTTTAACAGTACGAATTATTTCCTCAAAAGGCCGCCGGCCCCCATCTAAAGGAGTGGGAATACAAGCCCCGGCAGAGCGTTACAGCTGTCAGGGCTCCCGTTAGAAGACAGACTCGGCGGGCAGAAGGTACCAGGGTGAGGGTGAGCATCACCCTCCCTGCGTGCACAGCCGTGGCGAGGGTGCAAACGCGGGCATGCTCCCAAAGTTGGATCCAGCCATGGCTGAAGCTGGACTGGAGCAGAGCAGGGCAGTCAGGAAAGTGCTCCAGCTTCCGCAGTACCTGCTTGAGCTGCCAGTTGTTTGATGAGCTACAAATTATTTGTGTTTTCATTATAAACAGGTTGCTTTCATTTTTAAATTACTAGCTAGCAGCAAATACTACAGTTTAAGAATGGAGTTGTTGGAAACAGCAACAACAACAACAAAAAAAGTCTTAACTGCACATTACATTTTCATTATAGTCCCCGTAGAAGAGTTATGTCAGTCCTTAAAAATAAGTAACCAAACATCTATCATAATTTTTTTCTCATTTGAAATAACGAGTTAGAGTTTATGTAAGAGAGCACCATCTGCACCATTAGCTAATTGAAAGTTCCACTGCAGGCAGGTGCAACAAAGGAGAGGCTGCACGATCCTCCTCTAGTGACCATTTCATAGAGGACTGACATCCAATTTCATCCTCATAAAGCTGCAGACGAAACATGCTTTGGATCAGGACTGTTTTCTGAAAAAAAGAGCAGCTAGTCCATTTTCATGTTGCCTGAATAACTCACTGTTCCTGAAACTGTTTGATCAGCTCCTTTTTCCCTCCCCACTCTAACTTTCAGAAATAGTTTATGGCCTCCCGTGGATATCACATAAATCTAAAAGTCTACCTCTAACCTTAGTCTCAATTTAATGCTCAATTTTCATTTCTATCCAGACATGCCTCATAGGGTTTTGTTCATTCCCACTTTTCCATTTCTCACTGCCTAGACCCCACAGCTTTAGCCGATTAGTTTAATTTGGCATAAACTCAAGCATTCACTCCACGTACTGCCCCACTGCAAGCTACAGACCAGCACGTGCATAAAACAGGGGGAACCAGCAGTACATGTGTGTATGTAACCGCCAATAGTGTGTAGGTGGTAGAGAGTTCAGAGAGGTCTTTGTGTCTGTATAGACATTTGGGGCACCAAGAGGATGGCAAGGTGGGCGTTTCAGAGAGCAGACAGAGCTTCTGACTCCCCCATCAATCTTCTCTCCCCCACTATCAGCTATTGCAGTAAGGAGGCATGAGGGACTCCATTGCTGGGAGCAATTTGGGCTTCAGACATTTGGGAAGGAAATCACAGGGAAGAAGGGGTTGCAAAGGGAAAGCCCAAAGAGTTATTACTTGAGGAAAGCCTTTTGACCTGTCCCTCAGGGTGAGGAGGTAATTGCTCATAGTCCCACCACAATTCCACCCAGGCTCAATGGGAGTCTGGATGGAGCAGCACAGGGCACAACAGAGCAGCATTTCTCTCGTACCAAATCAATGGGCTGTTGTTGAAAAGGGGAGATCAAGCAGAACAAACAGTCCAACTGTGCTCACCTAACAATGGCCCTGCTACCAACACCACGTAACTGCTCAATTTACATTGGACTTGAATTACCTGAAAGTTAGTTTCAGTGGTTAGGCACAAAGCCAGATCGTTCCTTGAATTCCACAGACAGACCTTGTGTCTATATGCACAAATACCTAAAAAATAAGAGTTATGCAGCTAAGCAAGCAGGCCTGTCCCTTCCATGTTACCAAAACATGAGCTGCTTATCAGAAGCCAGGTATAGCAAACTTTTAACTTACGTGATTAACACTGGGCCACATTCTTCCCTCTGCACAGAATCTCATCACATATTACTTGCATGTCAGAAAACACAAAACATCATAAAAAAGAATGCAAGTTACATCAATCAAATTGTTTGAAATTTTAATTGTGACTCATGTTTGTTTTGCAACAGTTTCTCAAAGGCTATGATGAAACACAAGAATCATTTTGAATGAGACTAAATCAAAGCACAAATCCCAGGAAATAATTCTGCATTTGGAAAAGACTCAATAGAAAAGACTGATTTTAACTAAGATCTACAGGATTACCAGGAGCATTAGGGAACATCCTTGGAAAAATTCCTCCATTCAGTTAAGGCTTTGAAAAGAGTTTTTCAGAAGTGTGGAGTACCTCTAATCTCAAGGCAATAATTGAAAATTAGAAGTCCTTAGCATCCTTGAACATAGAGCTAGACAATTACAGAATCACAGAACGTTTGGGATTGGAAGGGACCTCAAAAGATCATCTAGTCCAATCCCTCTGCCGGAGCAGGAACAAAAATTATTTTCTAAACAAATCTAACTTTACAGTAAAGAGCTACTAATCCTATTAAAAATGAGATTAATTCCTATCACTGGGAGCTGGCACTGTAACTGCCAGTCACTCAGATGTTCCTTATTTATTGGATGAAACAAATAATGCAACATTTCATGGCTGGTATTGTTTTATTGTCTAATATTGATTAAATTATTTACACTTCTACTTTTCAATCCACAGTTCAGCACTCATACCTATGGCTTTTATGTTTATGTTTAGCACATCTTTGTGTCAAGTGTCAGAACTTTGTTTCAAAAAAGCAGGAAACTGATACCACATAGACAAGTCTTCTCTATATCTATGTTTAAACATACTCATTTTAAAAAATGATAATTTATGAATGAAGAGTCTGTGGTAGCTTTCCTCCAGTTTATGTTTACCACAGATTCTACTGAGCTTTTCCTATTTTAAAATGTCCCTTTTAGAATGTCTTGCTGCCTCCATATGGAATCTGTTTCTTACCTCAGATCCCTGCCTCTAAATGTAATGAAAACAAACAAAAAAATCAGTAGCTGACAATTTTAAGCAAAAATATAAAGCACTGTAACATTACCTACACTGCCTTTTATCGAACTAGGATCTTGAACACTCTAAGAACTTTGTAGAAATTTAACCAGTCAGTGTTGAAAAGGCACAGGATTTTTGTGCTCAGAGACCTCCAGCAATAATGTTTTTCTGCAGCCTGAAAGTTAGGAACCACCATTAGGAAACAGCAAACAGTCTAATCCAAAAATTGAGACATACCCAATGCCATTCACAACAGAACCCACCAGATTTTACTGCTGCTTCTGCCACAGACACCTTGCAAATCTATAACAAGAGTTTGCTTCTATTGCAAGAGGAAAAGAGAGAAAGTTACTCTTACATATACCTGGGGTGGTGTAACAGTGATACAAGCTATTAATTATTAAAATCCTCACAGAGCTGTGTCTGTGGTAGTTTCTGTTCCATTATCTTAAATTTATGGGAAAGTTATTTTTCACATATGAGAGAAGTTGTACATGAAGAAAGCTAACTTTGGTCCACTTGCCCAGCTTCCTAAGGACAGCATATTGGAAAGGTGACCACTGACAGTTCAAAAACCAATGTAAAAGTTAACAAAAATAATTTGGTATTTCATTCCTAAACCTGCAGTGTCTTTTGTCCTAGTCATCCACCTTTTCATTCTGTGTGTCTGCTAACTGTGGAGTTTTTAAGTCTTCAGCTTGTTCATTATCTTCCTTATCTGCATCATCTACTTGATTAGGTTCCTTTTCTTCTGCTTCTCCTCGATCCACACTTTCATATGCTACTTGTTGCAGCTCTGTTCCATCTATAAGTTCTGCCTGTACTTCTTCCATCTGTATTTGATTTACATGCTCAACATGTAACTGCTCCACGTGAACTTCAGCACCTTGTTCAGTCTGAATGTGTTCAACTTCCAAGTAACTAATTTGCACCTGTTCTTGCAGTTCCTCTATCTGTGCGCCTTTCACTTGATTGTCCTGTATGAGATCCTGGTGCATCTGTTCCACAGTTACCTGTGCAGGATCCACTTGTACCTGAATAACTGGGAGGACATGGACTTGCTCCACTTGTTCTATTATAGTCATCGATGTCACTGGTTCAGCTTCCACCGCCTCCACTGGAAGAACCTCTTCTGTCACTAGTCGCTCTGAAATATCGTGTGTTTCTTTGAGGTGCCTTCTCAGCTCACTGCCTTGCATAAACCACAAATCACACAAGGTACAATGGTTGGGTTTGTCACCAGTGTGTATTACCAAGTGATCTTTGAATTGATCCCAGCTGTTAAACACGCTGTTACAAACCTGAAACAAAAGATACAGTATATTAAACTGTGCCAACAGAAATATGACAAAGTGCCTATTTCAGATCATGGCTTCACATAGTGTAGCTTCTTGCTACTTGGATTAAAAAAAACCATCTACTTTAGAGGTAAAAGCTGAGATGTCAGCTTCAGATGAACAGAAGACTTGGTATTTACTTATTTCTTTTTAAGAAACAGTGTGCTACTTTAAGTTATGCATACACAGGATACCTACAAAACTTATGAGTCAGTACAGCACTTGAACCTTTTCCTATTTTAATCTTATGTGAAGTTCATGTACAGTATCATGGCCCAATAAATGTCTGGTGTTAAAGAGTTTTGTCAGAAAAGCTATTTATGTAATAATACTATACAATGACACTATAATACAAACTGTTCTATTATAGAAGTTCTAGATGCACTACTACTAGCCAACTTTTCCTATCAGCTTTCATTTGCTCATGGCATCATAAGGTTTAACTGGCTAGACTGGACTCTCCCGTTTTGCCATTTCAAAAAAACACAAATTATTTCAACAGATAAAACTCTCTTAAAATGCCATCCCTTTAATTCTCTTCCATCTAGAAGCACTGTCTCAACTGCAGACACACTGTTTTCACAAAGCACATGAGCACAATTCCTTTTCTTAGCTGGCACTGAGGTATGCAGCCTGAAAATACCACACAAGAGACTGCAGAAGTGAGTGAGGTGCCAGGGCAGAATAGAGAGAGAGAAGAGTGGGGTACAGTCGGGCTGGGAGTAATGAAACAGGGCCAGGAGCTTTTGTCCCTGTGATTGGACAGTATTTCAACACCGCTTCACTGCTGGCAAACAGTTTTGAAACAGATTGTTCTATCACCTCCTAATTCTCAGCACCGGCACAGAAGGATGACATATTATCTGACAGGGATTAACTCAAGAGTAGGTCTGTGAAGTGGAGCTAAATATCTCTGTTTTGCTGTTGAAGTCTGTTAAAATGGGTTTGTGATGCTAATGCCACACTTTTTTCCTCCTAGTCTCAAGTTTAGAAGGAAGATGCACATACACTTCTTAAAAGACTAACCTCATAGATAAGCACTCAAAGTTACTTACTCATACAAAAAGGTAATGAATATCAGTAATGTCCCAGCACATAATTACTGTTCTTGACACTGGAGCCTAAAGCAGTACTCAAGGCATACGCTGAAGAGCACCAAAAGTGCTCATCAAGGAAGCACAATTTTGTTTTCTCCTCTTTGTTCAGTGAGGCAAGATTTATTTATTGAACAGTATTCAGTTTAATTCTAAGGAGAGAAAAATTCAAGAAACATTTATCCAAGAATTGGTGTAGTTTCCACAGGCTGAAGAAACGCTAATGCACAATCACAATATCTGTGAGAGGATGTGGTATCAATTTGGAAAGAGAGACAAAGCAATCAGACCAAAGGGTCACAAAGACAAAACTACATATTCAATGAAGCTATTAGGTACAACTTTGTGTTAGACAGTAGTTCTCACATCCAGAACAAACATCTTTAAGAGAAAGGTATGGTCCCAAGAATTAACTTCAGTCTAGCATAACAAGTAAATGATACAACAGCATCAGTGAAACTTCTGATTAAATTATTTGATTAGCAATACAAAATTAATTTATCTCCTGCAGTATTCAGTGCTCTCTGTGAATAAGATCTCTCTCTTTTGGAACAAATAAAGCCAATATTCAGCAGTTTTCTTCAACATGACTCAATTTAACCTCAAACCACAGCCATTCAGTGAACTGAATAAGGTGAGAGCCTCAAGGGAAAAAAGAGAGAGAGAGAAAGAGAGAAGGAGAGAAAGAAAGGGGGGAAAGAGAAGGGGTAAGAAGAGAGGGGAGAAAAAGAGGCAGGAGAAAGAGGGAGGAAGAAAGAGAGAGGAAGGGAAGAGTGTTCTTATCTGAGACTGCCAGAGCAATGGGGCAGCAAAATGGCAAATAAAAATGCTGCAACCAACCTCAGCTCTTGTATTTTTCTAGCTTTTCAGAATCAGCTTTTAAAAGCTAACTAAGATTTATCTGAGGACCTTTTAAAATGTCAGTCACTTACAGTGATCAAGTACACTAGCTACCTATCTACAGTATTTGTATTTGCTTAAAAGACATTACAGATTGTCATCATAAGCTGAAATTACTTTCCAAAGTTGATATATAGAGTATCAAACAGAAGAATAATAAAATAGGAAATAAAAATAGTACTTTGTATTTTGGACTTTACTGAAACATGCTCACAGACAGGAAAGGCCTAGGTCAGTGCATCAACAACCTTGAAAAGGAAGCAGAAAGTTCAGTAAAATGCAGATGAACATTTACCTGCCCAAAAGAATCTCTTTGATTATAAGTATTATGAAGCTCCATATCCGTAATTCTGTATTTTAAATGGAACTAATTAGATACAAGAATTTCTCTGCATGCTGTGATTGAATGCAATCCTTGTATTTATTTTACTAGAAGTAGTTCTTGGAGACATAAGCCCACTCTCATTGCCTTTCCTGCTCAGTACTCCCACACTCCCGCAGCACAGCCTCACACTCTGCTACTTCCATTACCCACCTGACATTCGTACAGCTTCTTTCTTCCCTTTTTAGCTCCAGCTCCAGACTGACAGGCCGTCAAGTGACATTTGAGTGTGCTATTCCTAGCAAAACGTTCATGGCAGTTTGGACATTCAAAGGGTTTTTCACCTGTTAAGACAGATACAGGGATATGTAAGCATATAAAACCAGGAGTTATCTGTCAACTCTCTCTTCTTCCACTCTT